TCGTGCTGTTAATCTTGATTCAATAACAAATCCAAAAGATCGTGCTGCTATTGAAACACAAATAAGAAATTTTGGTCAAGCACCAGCACAACTTTTAACTGAACCACATCCACCAAGAAATTCAGCAATGAATTTAGTAAGACAAAATAAAAAACAACAAACACTTTATGTTTTTTTTTAATAATTCTTTTTTTGTCTATTTTAGACTCCAATGATGTATAATGTGTAGGTAGTTTTTTTTCTCAAAGAAAGAAAAAATAATTTAAATATTTTAGTACACCAGAAGATGTATCAATGATAATGAAATTTTCATCAAATGCACCTATTATTCATGTTTCTGCTAATACAAATCCAACACTTTCTATACAAGCTATTATTACAATTAGTAATAAACATAACTTTTCTATAAATAAATATCATCCAAATGCTAGTACACCAACACAAACTTATTCTGAATCATCACAAGCATCAATACATCAACAAACACAATTACCATTAAGCATGGATTCAATATTAGGCAGATTAATTCTATAGTTAAACTTTTTATAAATATTAATTTGAATAATAGTTATTCAATATCCAAAAATAAAATAACAATAAGAATATCGTTTTTATTTTATTTAGTATCAAATATAAATTTAAATCGTCGTCATTTGGGTGATAATTTTGATGACCGTATTCAACAATGACATCAAAGTTTTGTTGTTACTGCTGATAATCGTTATATAATATCAACTGGTTATTGGGATAAAAGTTTTTGTGTACAAAATACTGATATAGCGAAAATTACACAAGTATTCTATGGTCATTTTGATATTGTTACATGTGTATGTCGTTCAGAAGTAACTATTGCTGGAAATTGTTTTCTTGCAACTGGTTCACGTGATTGTACAGTTTGTATTTGGATATGGAATGGTACAAACGGTGCAATAGTTGATCGTGAATATCCAAATCAAGGTTATAATTAAATTTTAAAAAAAAAATCAATATATTATAACTAGCGAGAGCCCGTAGATACACTGCACGGCTGTTTTCTCTTTTCACGTATAACCTAAGACGTTTAACTTTTCATTCAGGAACATACATACAGACATTCGATATTATGTATGTAGATAGATAGCCCTACGGTCTCATACTCTTATATCGCACGTATTTTTATAGTCCATGTAGCCTTCGACCTTATAGCTTTGTATTCCTTATAGCTATTGTAGCCTTATCCCCTTGAGAACCTATGGCTATTCCCATATTATAGCTCTTCATGTCCTATAGATATACCATATAATAGCCCTTGAGGACCTATGGATTTCACTATATAATAGCCCTTAAGGCCTTTCGCTTATAGGACTATTTGACTTTTAAGCTTTAACCTTGGATCCTGGGCACAGAGACGTCAGACAGACACTGAACAATATATATATAGAGAGAGATTTTTTTTGTTTTTATATAGAAATCAATCCATCACGAGCAGCAATTTTAACTGGTCATGATAGAGAAATCACATGTTTATGGATATCAGCTGAACTTGGTATTGTTTTAAGTGGTAGTGAACTAAGTCTTGTACTTCAACATACACTTAATAGTGATATATTACGTTCATTTGAAAATCCATCAAAAATATCTACACCACGTCTATTATCACCATCAAATGATGGTGATAGTATTGTTTGTTATGATCGTTCAAAATTATGTTTATATACATTAAATGGAAAATTAATGAGAAAGCAATATTTGAAGATGAAACTATTCAAGTAAAAGCAAAACAAAAAAAAGACAAAAATAATTATTTTTTTTATTTTTGTCTAGTGTATGGTTTTAAATGCTGATAGTTAATATACAGTTATTGGTGGTGATCGAGGTTTTGTACAAATCATTCGAACACATGATTTACAACCTGTTTATGCTTATCCACAATGTGATGCTAGTATTCGTTCATTAGCAATAACTCATGATCAAAAGTAAAAACAAATGATTATTATATAATAACTAATTAAAGAGTTCTTTTGTTTTTTTTCTCACTATCATATTTTATATAAATTTTTATGTATGCAGAAATATATATATATATATTTCTTTGTTTAATTTAGATATATCATGGCAGGTCTTTCTACAGGTTGTTTGATTGTATTTAATTTTAATTTTAATGTTCTTAATCAACCCCGACGTGATTCTGGAACGCCTATTGCAAATGTTTAATAAAAAATGTTTTCTGTTTGTTTTTTTTTCGTAGTGTAATTGTTTTTTGACTATTAATATTTTAACACATTTTTTTTCCTCTGCGCTTTCATTTGAGGCTTTTTTTTTTCTTATAGACATTCCAAATTCCTTGTGTTTATATGGTTCTTTATAAAAGAAAAGATCCATGGTTTCATTTTTGTTTTGAATAGGTGAGAACGGCTGCTACATCAAGTAGTATTTTTTTTTTAGTTTTTGTGTTTGATTTGTTGGGTGGGAAATAAGAAAGCCCCAGTGATATTCATTTTGTTGTTGGTGTTTATCGTATTTATCTAGGTTAATTTGTAACGTGCATGCTAAAAAAAAAGATAAAAATCTTTAACAATATCACGATCTTAAATATTTCATTTGTCTGTGCATTTTTCTTTTTACTTATGCTTATAAACGGAGTTCACCGCATTCCTTTTTTTGTTCTTATGTTTCTTAAGCTTCAAAACAAAAATTAAGCAATTCAATAACTATTCATATACTTCGCACATAAAATAAAGAATTATTTGCAATAATCAAATAGTTATCTGTATAATTGGTTTTAGATTATTCTGATAAATTGACAAGTTAAAGAATGACAGCAGCAACTGGTAAATGAATTTATAAATAGTAAATTATTGAAAAACTTTGTATCTACAAAGAAGTAATGAATCAATCCTTTTGCCGCAGCAGACCTTTCTCTAACCGAGAACTCGGCTTTTGGTTTAAGAGTTATGAGATACGTTATATTAGCAAGTTTTTTGTATAGAACATAAGGTGAGATTGTTCCTTACAAAATTATATCAGAATAATAAGTTTGAGAACCAATTTGCAGACTTAGACAAAGCCGGTTCATAACTCTTAAACAATGTTGTTAAATTACTTTTCAATAACTCCAATGATAAATTCAAAGAAGAACCTATAAAATATATGCTTCTATAAAGGTGACCAAAAGAAACAATACGTGCTTGTACCTAGTGATGCTGGTTTTATTGGTAGTCATTGTGTTATTGAATTGATTACAGCTGGTTATGCACCAATTATAGTAGATAATGAACATAATTCATCAGCAGGTGAAATTAAAAAAAATATCAAATAGAAAATTCGATTCTATTTAGAAAAAATTTCTTTTTTAGAATGTTTAAAATGTGTTGAACAAATTACTGAATGTCAAACAATTAATTATAAAATTGATTGTCTTGATCTTGAAAATTTACGAAATATTTTTAAAAAATATTTAATTTATGCAATAATCAATTGTGCTGCACTTAAATCAGTTGGTGAATCAGTACAGAAACCAATTTTATATTATAAAAATAATATTGGTTATTTACTTAATTTACTTACAGTAATTGTTTTCTAATTATTAAATAAATATATTTATTTGAATATTATTTAGTGTATGGAAGAATTTAATGTTAAAAATTTTCTTTTTTCATCATCAGCTACTGTCTATGGTACACCAAAATATTTACCACTTGATGAAAAACATCCATGTATTGGTGATACTATTACAAGGGGGAAAAAGCGGATTATTTGGGATTTTAAATCCGAAAAAATCCCAAATAATCCCAAATAATCCCAAAAATCTCAAATAATCTCAAATAATCCTAAATAATCCCAAATAATCCGAAATAATCCCAAATAATCCCAAATAATCCCAAATAATCCCAAATAATCCCAAAAATCTCAAAAAATCTAAAATCCAAAGTAATGTTCAACAATATACTCTGATCATATTTTCAAGTGCGTCGAACATAGATAACCAGTTTTAAAGGCTGCTACACATAGGGGAAAAGGTCCCTAGTCGAGAGTCCCCAAATGAATCCCTGGAGAGTCTTCCACTACCCCTCGGTCCCTGGGGAGTCCCTATCGTGATTCCACGGAGACTTCTAGGGTGACTTTATAAAGAGATTTCACTAGGAGTGGATACTCTGATAAAAACGTCCGTACGATCGTTTACAGTCATCGTAAGTCTCATGGTATATTTCTGGGGAGTCCCTGAAAAATCTTCAGAAACTCGCTAGTAAATCTCCAGAAACTCCCATGTAAATCCCCAAGGTCTTCATGTCGTGAGTTCCCAGAGATTCGTAAGGATATTCTCAAGAAGGAGATCAATTCACAAGATTCCACATCCATATAAGCACAATGGGAATCCTTGAAACCCAAGTAGCATGATGGGAATTCCGAGAAAACGATGCATCCTCTAGGAAACTCATAAGTGCTCATGACGACTTCTATGGAAGCGCCTTAAAGTCCTGAATGCCTATCTGATGAGAGTATTCATAAGTTATCATCACCTATCATATGGGGAGCAGTCATCCTATTCCGCAATATTGAACATTGCGGAACCAGTTCCGCCTCCGGAATCAGTTCCGTCCAATTCCGAGAACTTGATCGTCATACAAAATAAGAGGACTACTCGACATTGATCGAGTTCTATCAATTCCCAGAATTCCCTCTCGACTCGATTCCCGGTACTCCGGAATCGGTAGGGATTGTTAGAAATTCAAAGCTATCCTGTGCAATTCCGTCTTGACTCAATTCCTGGAATTCCGTACCTAAATTGGATACTAATTCAATGGATTAATCTTTAAGCACATCAGTATGCATGAGGGTGAGGGAGCGATCTAATTTCGGTCAGGAATTCCAGAACTGGATTGAGTTCCCGGAATTCTGGAATTGAACTGAGTTCCCGGAATTCCGGAACTGGTAGGAATTCCTAGGAATTCTGTGCAATTCCGTCCTGACTCAATTCCAAGAATTCAGTCCGAAATTGGGTACTAATTGAATGGATTAATCGTTTAGCACATCAGTATGCATGAGGGTGAGGAAGTGACCTGATTCTGGTCAGGAGTTCCGGAATCGGATTCAATTCCGGGAATTCTGAAATCGGTAGGAATTCTGTGCAATTTCGTCTTGACTCAATTCCTAGAATTCCGCGCCGGAATTGGGTACTAATTGAATGGATTAATTGTTAAGCACATCAGTATGCATGAGGATGAGGGAGCGACCTAATTCCGGTCAGGAATTCCAGAATCGGATTCAATTCCGGGAATTCCGAAATCGGTAGGAATTGCTAGGAATTCTGTACAATTCCGTCTTGACTCAATTCCCGGAATTCCGTACTAATTGCATGGATTAATCTTTAAGCACATCAGTATGTATGAGAGTGAGGGAGCGACCTAATTCGGGTCAGGAATTCCGAAATTAGATTGAATGCCCGGAATTCCGGAATCACTAGGAATTTCTTGGAATTCCGCGCAATTCCGGAATTATCGGAATTGATGGAGCTCGATCAATGATGAGTGGGCCTCTTTGGTTCAATGATAATCGAGTTCTAGGAATTGGATGGAACTGATTCCGATGGCGGAACTGGTTCCACAATGTGCAACATCGCGGAATAGGAAGTGTTCTCCCATCAGTACTCTAGAGGGATCCTATGAGGGTACTCATAAGTCATGATCGCCTATCCTATAGAATATCCACAAGTATTTAAGGCTTATTCTATGACGGACACCCCATAAGTCCTTCTGACCTGTCCTATGTGAATACAATAAATCCTCAAGGACTCTCCTTTGCGGGTACTCATAAGTCTTCAATGCATATCTTATAGGCGTGCTCATAAGTCATTATCGTCTATTCTATGGGATACCCGTAAGTCCCGAAGGGCTATCTTATGGAGGTAACCATATATCCTCATCGTCTCTCCTATGGACGTATGCAGAAGTCCTCAAAGCCGTCGTATAGGGTACCTATAAGTAGATTTTTGACAGCTCTGGTTCAATTCGCCGAGCTGATACTGTCCACCAGCTCTTCGACTGAGCTCTTACGAGCTGTGGAAGTAGAGCTGTGATGCGCCTAAGGTTCATTCTATATGTGATTAAAGAGAAATTCAAAGTTGAGCCCAATTTGTCAAACGCAATGACCTGAAAACGATACTAATTGTGAAGTAAAGCCACTTCATAACTTTCCTCAATATATCGAGCTGAAAAGAAGAGTCCACTTTTACTTCTTAACGGAAAAATCAAATACATGATTGTTACGTGACCCTTAAACCAGTATTTCATACTACATTAAAATTCAGTTAGTGGATGATGGGCGAGCAGTGTCCATACAACAGTTACGCATCCTATGCCTAAAAGCTCTTGGAAACCTACGACGACTAATGCTAGATATTTTTTGAACAGTTAGCCGCACCCAATATATCTCCACAGAAGAGCCCTTGAAGAGGAAGCAGAACTATTGTAAGACAGTGTTTGAAAAGGTAACTATACCAAACATCAATTGGCCATGTAGACTAATAGGTACCACTACAGGATAGGCCATGAGGACTTACGGGTACCACTACAGGATAAAGCATGAGGACTTATGGGTACCACCATAGAATGGGCCATGAGGACTTACGGGTTCCTCTATAGGAGAGGCCATACAGACTTATTGGTACCATTATAGGATAGACCATAAGGATTTATGAGTTTCCTATAGGATAAGCTATGAGGACTTATGAATTTCCCTACAGGATAGACCATGAGGACTTATGGGTACTCCATAGGTTAGGGGATGAAGACTTACGGGTACTACCATAAGATAGAACATACAGACTTATTTGTACCACTATAGGATAGGCCATGCGGATTGATGGTTACTTCCATACGATAGCCCTTGAGAATCTATTAATTCGGTCGTATGGTAGGCCTTCAAGGGCTTCAAGTACATACCCCTGAGTGCCTGTAGGAAGCTATGAGATAGCTCATATGAAAAGAAGTGGTGATGATAGATTCAAAATTAATCTAATATCAAACAAAAAACTGAGGAAAACCTGAAAAACTCAAAAGCGCCCGAAAAAATCGGAATATCCAAGAAAATCCAAAAATCCAAAAAATCCAAAGAAATTCGAAACATCAAAAAAAATCCAACGAAATCCGAAATAATCCCCAAATCCCAAATTCGCTTTTCCCTCTTGATTTTTGTCAGATGTTGCAAAATTAGTCTCAGTAGCAAACTATCGTTTTTCGCAGAGCTCTTGATATTTCAGTTTTTTCGGGATGATTTTGCATCCCGAATAGTGAATAGAATCTGTATAAAAAGTCTCAGTTTGATTAGACATACCAGAACTCAGTGAAACGCGGGATAAATACAATTTTGTTCACTTCTAGGAAGGAACGAAACTGAAAAATAGGAAGTACATGGAGCAGAATGAAACAGGATGAGGCTAGAATTTTCTTCGCTCCATCCAGACTGTTTCCTTCCTTTTAAGCTAACAAGCAACAGTTTTTCATAACTCCTCTTCGCGAACATTTTATCTATGGGAAACACAATTAACTCAATCATTGTTAATCGAGAAGGTTCTGTTATGCTAATAAAGCAGTTCGAAACAATTCTTCATAAATAGACAGGCCAGAACACGGCTGAAAAATGGAAAGTAGCGCGGGGCAGAGTAGAACGTGAGGCGTCAAATGAGATGAGGCATAGGATGCGAGACCGATTTTTATCGTTCTGCGGAACTCTGGAACCTACCATATTAGAGAAAATAGCGAAAATAGTGGTCATTTTGACTCATCGGGGCTATAATATCTGCTTGAAGCAAATAATCAATTGATTAAGGCCTATGCGAACTTTTCATTTATTAATTGACTTCAAGTTGGTCAGAAAAGTATAGTTTTCTGCCAGCCATTCTCCGAAAGTGAGAGAAAGAAGCGAGATAACTTTAAACAAAAAAACAGGCAATTGGAATGATGAGATATGGCATACCGGCTTGAAATTATGCTAATATAAAACAAAAAACCTGAGGAAATATGGGAAAACTCGAAAAATTCAAAGAAACTCAAAAATCCCTAAATCCGCTTTTCCACCCTTGAATATGATTAGCTATTTTTTAGCACATACGATTCTTAACCTTTCTTGAGATAGACATACCTAAGAAGAATCGATACATGACAGCGAAAGCTGACGAAAATCCTAGTATGAATGAACACAAAAACTAGAAGACATTGAACGTTTTGCGACCTCTTTTACATACACTTTCACGAGAGGGCTGGTCAAAAGTCTTCAAGAATGCCACTGTTGTGAATGAGAGAGGACAATTGACTTAATCAAGCCAATCTATCTCGTGAAGATAGAGCCTTGCCTTGCAATAGAAAATACGATATTCAAATGATAGACAAGGAATAAAAAGTTTAAAAGTTCGAAAAAAAGCTGTTAGCGCAATTCCTTACGGGATTACAAATGTGAAACACGATGTAGTTGCTATAGCCGATGTTCTAAAAGTTGTTGTTTTTTATGCATATTGGAATACATTCCTTCCTAATGGTTTACTTTACATTATACACTTTGAATCGGATAATATTCCATATATGCTCCAATCATATGTTAGTTATACATTATCTCTGATATTTGCTTGAAGTCTTCTTCAGTTTATAATGACCCCTGGGCCCTATGTATCATGCCCTATGACGTGCCCAGAGACCTGTCTGTCACGGTCTGTGACGGGTCCGAAGACCTGTCTGTGGCACGCCCAAAGTCTGTCTGTCACGGTGTGTGATGGGTCCAGAACCTTGCCTGTCACGGTCTGTGGGGAAGATGCAAATTTCTACCCCTAAACACTTCAACACTCCTTTCAGATCGTGTTTCACAACATCTCAAAAATCTAAAAAAATCCCGAAAAATCCGAAAAAATCCCAAATAATCCCAAATAATCCCAAATAATCCCAAATAATCTCAAATATTCTCAAATAATCTCAAATAATCCCAAATAATCCCAAATAATCTCAAATAATCCCAAAAAATCCCGAAAATCCCAAATAATCCCAAAAAATCTTCTTCGGATTTTAGAATCTGTAAAATCCCAAATCCGCTTTTTCCCCCTTGTACTATTACTAATCCATATGGTAAAAGTAAATATATATGTGAACATATTCTTAAAGATACAATCGTTGCTCATCCTGTTCGTATTTTAAAATTAAAATAATCTATTCTTTTTTGTTTTTTTATTGTTGTTAATTTATTTGGGAATAGAATATCATTCTTTTACGTTATTTTAATCCTGTTGGTGCTCATAAAACAGGTTTAATTGGTGAAGATCCTATTGGTAAACCAAATAATCTTATGCCATATATTGCACAAGTAGCTGTTGGTCGTTTACCATATGTTAATATTTTTGGTACTGATTATGATACTCCAGATGGTACAGGTAAACATAAGCAAATAAATATAATTTATCTTCTTATCATTAAAAAACTATTGAATTTGTATAGGTGTTCGAGATTATATACATGTTGTTGATGTAGCTATAGGTCATATTGCAGCAATGAAACAATTTGAAATGAATTGTGGTTTAAAAGTTAGTAATAGATAATGATTTAAATTTTTTTTTATTATTCTTTCTTATTTAGATTTATAATCTTGGTACTGGTAAAGGTTATTCTGTATTAGAAATGATTAAAACATTAGAAAAAGCATCAGGCAAAATAATATCTTATAAAGAATGTTCTCGATGTCCAGGTGATCTTGCAACTGTTTATGCTGATCCAACATTAGCAGCTCAAGAACTTGGATGGACAGTTCAACGAAATTTAGATGAAATGTGTAAATAAGTTTTTATTTTTAAGTACAGATTTAAAATTATATTTTTCTTTTATAGGCAAAGATTTATGGCGTTGGCAATCGAATAATCCAAATAGATTTCAATAGAATCACATACATAGTATTAATTTAATACATCTGTAGAAGTTAAATTTAAAAAAAAAGAGAATCTCTTTCTATTTATAAACGCATTTAGTCAATATTTACATCTACTTATTTATGATGTTTTAGATGAGTAATATTTACATGCAAGAGTCAGCTACTCGTGGCAAAGTTGTTTTAGATACAACTGTTGGTGATATTGAAATTGTACGCAATTTTGTGTCTTTCTTTTTTTTTTTTACAAACGGCACTATAAAAGTTTTTTTTCATCAAGTCTTAGTTCTAGATGTTCGATCAACATATAATTTCATATGATTTTATACACCGAACCCCTTTAGTCTTCTTATTCTGTATTTTTAATAACTAGAACATTGAACTTATTACGAAATATCCAATCTCAATTGCAACATGTTCACCTATGTAACTAATCGGAATGAAATACAAGAATAAGATATTTTAGAAAGTTTAGAATTTCAACAATTGGTCTCAATGCACAACATTTAGGAAAGTCGGACGAATAAAAAGAACACTTTTGTAGTGCCCTATATAATAAATGTGAAATAGTAATATAGTTTTTATTTTTTTTTTAGAAACTTTTCTCTAAAGAATGTCCATTAGCATGTCGAAATTTTGTTCAATTATGTATGGATGGTTATTATGATGGTACAGTTTTTCATCGAGTTGTACCAAATTTTATTGCACAAGGTGATGATCCAACTGGAACAGGTGAAGGAGGTGAATCAGCAACTGGTGAATTCTTTGCAGTAAATCAAAAATTAAATTAAATTAAATTTTATTTTGTTTCGATATAAAAAAAAACAAAAAAACTTTAGGATGAATTTCATACACGTTTACATTTTAATCGCTGTGGTCTTGTTGGTATGGTTAATCAAGGACCAAATACTAATGCTAGTCAATTCTTTTTTACTTTGGGTAGTACTCCAGAACTTGATAAAAAGAATACATTATTTGGCAAAGTTGTTGGTAATACATTATTTAATATGTTGAAATTATGTGAAGGAGAAATTATTGGTGAAATACCAGTACATAAACATAAAATAATTAAAGCAGAAGTAAAAAATGAGAGAAAAATTTATAGTTTTAAAAGATTATATTTTATATGTATATAGATTATATCAAATCCATTTGATAATATAGTATCTCGACCTCGAGCTAAATCACAAATAATTGATGATGATAATGATGAAATAAATAAAAAGTCGAAAGAAACTGTACAAGCTAAAGCAATCAAGTAGAATTTTTCTATGAAGTTAAAACAAGAATTTGAAATTCTTTGTTTTTTTATAATTAGAAATTATGGTCTTCTTTCATTTGGAAATGAAGCTGAAGAAGATGAAGAAGAAATAACAAAAATTTCAATGGTATAGATATATTTCATTTGTTTTTTTTTTGTTTTTTCCTTTCTTATTTTAATATTTTTATAGACATTCAAACAAAAAGGAACGGGAAAAAGTGCACATGATTTAACTAATGATTCAACATTAAGTAAAAATACAGTTGTATTAAATGAAAATAATGAAGAAAGTGATGAGGAATTACCTATAGAAAAACAAAATTTTAAAATAAAAGAAAAAAGTGATGCAGATTTTGATAAAGAAGAACTTGATCGAGTACGACAAAAATTTAATGCAAAAAAATTAGCTCCGCAAGAGAAGAAAAAAACACTTCAACTTGATATTGATGATGATGATGATAATCAAAAAGATATTTCATCAACAAAATCGTAAATATAAAATACAACAAAAATATTTTGATTGATTTAGTATTGTCTTTTTTTTTGATAGAAATGAAAATGTTAAACTTGAAATTGAACGATTAAAAAAAGAATTAAAACAAACAAAAAAGTCATCATCAGCATCCACACCCAAATCATCAGAAAATGTCGTTCAAGTAGAAACAGAACGTAAGTATTGTTTAATGATATTTAGTATATCCTACGAAATCCAGTTTGAACGGATAAATCCATTCGAAAGTATTGAACTTTTTTTCGGTCTTACCAAGATCTATTTCATATTTCAAGGATGCATGAGGATATTGATCCTATTTTTAACTGACAATCATATTTTATGAGTTTATTTCAAATTTAGCTGCACCCTCATCTATTCAACCAGTTACCTCAAGTACTACTACATTAATGGATGAATTAATGGCAGGTACAAGATGAAACAATAAAAAAAATCATAGTAGTCATTCAAATTCAAGAGAATCTCAAGTTTGTTCATCAGTTATTTTTGTACTGAATAAAATATTCGAATTTAATTTTTTAGACACTTGATTTATTAGAAAGATTTCGTGTAAAAGTTCATACTGCTAAAGATGAACAAATTAGTGAATCTTTAAATGAAACACAATCAGAACAAATAGCTGATAAAGTTCAAACATCATTTTTAAAACATACTTTTGTATCTCAAGAATTATTAGATAATGTTCAAGATATTTATACAAATGCTGAATTATTAACTGTTTATGATCCAAGAAATCCAATGACTAAACGACGATGAGATGAAAGTAGTATGTTACTTCATCAATAAAAATATAAAGAACGTACATAAAACAATGTTGTTATTGTTGTTGTTTTGTTCATCTATGCATTATGTAATTTATTTTCTTGGTGATATAAAATAAATCGTTCCATAAAAAATATCATAAAAAGAAAGGAATTATTTTTCTTTATTGTATTCAGATAAATTATGCAACATTCATGTTCACATACATGCCAACATGTTGATGAAACCAATGTTGGCCAATGGAATTTATATACAAAAATTGATAAATATAATTTACAATGTTATAATGAAAAACATGATGATTCAGGTAAAGATGTATTTCGAGCATGGGAAGAACGTCTTGATCGATCAAAAGTATATTTTGTATTTGATTTATTCAAATAAAATACTATGAATACGTGTTTTTTTTTGAAAGGTAGTTGAAAGTGATGATGAACAAGAATTACTTTTCAGTATACCATTTAATGGTGCTGTGAAAATAACTGGTCTATGTGTTATTAGTGAAAATGGTCCATCACATCCGAATACAGTTAAACTGTATGTGGATAAATTATTTCAATAAAGTAGGAGTTATGATTTATATATATATACATATGAATAGATAGAGTAATTTACCTGAATTACGTTTTGATAATACACGTGGAAAAGCTCATCAAGAAATTTCACTTACATATGATCCATCGGGTACATTAGCTTATCAAGTCAAGTAAATATGTTGATTTTTTGAAAAAATTTTTAATCAAATATCTATTTTAGTCCATCACATTTCTCACGTGTAACACATTTATCTTTATATTTTCCTTCGAATTTCGGTGATGAAACAACTCGTATTTATTATATTGGTCTTCGTGGTGAATATCTTGGTGTAAGTGAATGTTATATTTCAATATGATTCTGTATGATTTTTTTCATGTATAGGAAGTAAAATCTGAAGTAGTCATTACAACGTATGAAGCTAGACCACAATTAAAAGATCACAAAGTGGATGATTTTTTAACAGGCAGTCGTGAAATACAATAAACTGATACTATTGTTTTTTTTTTATGTTAAATTTGCAAAAAATCTTTCTAAAATAAATTTTCATCTTGATTGAATTTGTTGTATTTTATCTCAAATGATTCTTAGAACTAATGGTAAGGATGTAACCTACTTTCTACAGAAATCCGTCTAAAAAATGGACAGTAGTTTTCAATGTAAGTCACATTTGAACACCATATTTACGTATTCAAGAGCTCGCAAATAGTGCATTTTTTAGCCATATCTTATAACCAATTTCTGACAAAGTTCGATATATAGTGACCTATTTTGTGATCGGTAACCTTTTCTTCATTGAAACTGGTTGTCATAAACCATCCATAAAATGATAATGACGTAGCGATGAAAAGTCAAGTTTTTCTCCACTACAAAAAGACAAGTAAAGGCAATAAATATCTTAATTGGCTATTATAGACCAAGAACTAGATCTTGATTTTGCATGATAACCTTGAACTAGGAAAATGATTTGGTCTTATAGAGAACTTGACAGGGTGTGGGTGTTGTCTTCTTTTAAACCCCCACACGCACACGCACACCCACACCCAACTATTCATTTTGCAAAGTGCAGCACACCTGTTCTAAATTAAAATTTCCGTTATGATGCATGATTCAATCGAAAGGTGTGGGTGGATGGGGTGTGCGTGTGGATGTGAGTCTTCTTTTTGCAAACATCCACATCGACACTCGGTATACTTAACTATCTGAATGACATTATTCTCTAGGACAATTTCCAATACTTTAAAGTTCGAATAATACATGAAGATTTTCTCAATAGAAGACCGATCATTCTTCATCCAAGAATGAATGTTTGTGGTAGTTTCGCATATGTTAATAAATGACGTTCTACATATATCTAATGGTGTCTCATATTATCTCGCATTTAGAGTTCTTTGCTTAGACATGATAATACATTTCATACATCGATATTCCATATTGACCACTGTTCTTCGATTTGATAGAAATTTTCGTTGACGATACCACGTTGACGCATTATTCCTTCAGAAATCAATCACAATAGATGGATTGTCTATCATATGACGTTTGTTGCTGATTTCTGGATAATCGTCAATTTTTTTTTCAGTTCATCTTGACCATTTAGTAGAGACTGCTCCGTATGAACTTCGTTTTAGGTTCAACTCTACAGACGTTTTCGTTTTCGGCTAGTAGCATAAACTGATTGAAATATGAAACCTATCGATTGTGTTTATTTAGAGATATAACCAGATCGGCTGCATCATCATCAATGTATCATCAACTAACAACCAAGCAATTGAGTTGCGAACTTTCTCTTTTTTAAGCCTAGAAGTACCAAGAATATCTTTTTTCCATCTCTTGACAATTTGTTCTCTATCGTCATAAATCGATTCGTTACAAAACAGGAAGACAGATAATGAGAAAATGATCTTGATGAGATGCAATCAGGCAAAAAGAAAGAAAAAAAACTAACCTTGCCTTTTTTCAGTATCTATCTCTGTGCATATTCTACCTACATATTGATTTTACTCACTGAAATATATGTATATATAAATATGAAAGAAAAAAAGGCAACTGTCATAGAAGTTCTCTTGCTTTTGATATCTGCAATTGCAGGAAAAAATCCAATATAATCATGCAGTCATCAATAACTTTTTTTGTTCGATAAACTTTCATATTCGTAAAGACATCCAGCGTATACTTGAATGATGATGTTATTTTTTTATTTTTACTACAGAAAGGAAAAGATGAACTCTTTCGTCTATACATCGCTCGAGACAGGTTCAACTTCATAGTTCATCGATACAAAAAAAAAGTAAATATAAGAAACCATCACTTTAGTTAGAGTGAGGGTAATAGAATACTCAAAATGCCCATGTCATCAATCCTCTTTTCACATTAGAAATGTTTATATATATGTGAAAGTGAAAATAAATAAACTAATTTTAGAAGTGCACGAGTCACTTCTATTTGTCACCGGATTCACATAAGAGATATATATCAATAGAAACAAGAGTATTCGTTCTGTTGGATAAAAGTGAATAATACTTATTTATTTTATTTTTTGTTCATTTCGTAGATTATTCTTTATTGTTCTCATATCTTTGTCGTATGTTTCATTAAGGGTGATAGAATATAGCGACATATCTACGATCTAGAAATCGACATTTCAAAAAGACTTTAAGATACATATATAGATTAAAGATCTATAACTTCAGACTATCATATAATTCAAGACGATCTATCCAGGTTAAGGAAGTCAAGCTGCATGCGTAACGTAAAACATCTATTTTTCAATATTAACACGAACCAAAAGACGTCAACAAAGCAAAAACATTTAAAAGAGATTTGGTCTTGTCACCAAATGAGCATAACGATGAAGTATAAATTGCTTCCACTTAGATAGTAAGAGACGTTGTCAAAAACTGCTGGGTTCGACAGATATTCGACGTAACATAAACAAAAGACTGTTGCCTACACTCTCACATTCTGTAATGTAATGAATGATAGAATCATAGACATCATTGTAATCATGTAGGAGACCGTTCGTAAACTCCGTTCAGATCATCAGTTCAAAAAAACAACTTATACAAACAGTTACTAAATATCTATAACGAAATCGAATATAATGAGTTATTCTTTCGGTTCAATGACTTGGTGTTAATTTTTTTTGCTATTGATATTTTCCGACTGGTTTTATAAATTGTTCTTTGGCTGATGATGTGAACGGAGTTCACGAAATGTCTCAAATATTTTTAAAACGATGTCGATGACTCTATTATTCATTTTTACATATATTTTCATCGATTAAAATTAAAACAAAATCATTCATTAATTATTTTGTTTACTCATGGGAAATATATTTCGAAATACAAGTGTAATGCATTCGAATATACAAATATCAGTGTATATTTTCTCATCATAACAACACGAAACGTGAAGAAAGGCAAAAAAAAGAGAAAAAACATTGAAAGAACGAAATACATATGGTGAAGAATGCAATCATGAAAAATAACTACCTACCTGATGAAAATGTCATGCTTCATTGATTTACATAAACATACATCGCTGAGGAAAAAAAACCAAGTAATTTCGTCAACGATAAATACGAGGCAAAACTGATTGCAAGCATACAAAACAAAACTTGCACACTCCAGTACCACTTATCATGTAAGTATATTTGGTTTTCAACATTATTATACTAGAAATAAAATTAAAATTGAATATCAAAAGTAGTTACAAACAACAAAAAAACGAAATGACATGGACGTGAGGCATTTTAATTACCTGAAGTAGAGGTGTTACTTTATCTTTACTTTATAAAATAAATATAAATACAATCTTTATATTTACGAAATAGACATAAGTAAATTCTTCATCTTTATAAAATAAAGATACATGAATTGTTTATTTCCATAAATAAACATAAAATAAATAATAAAGAAAGATTCTTTATCTATGACGAAGAAATAGACAAATACCTAGTATAACAGCAGGATATATTAATCAATATTCTTTCTTATCATCAACATCATTTCGACATGTGATATTATTAAAAAGTCAAACTTATACATGTAAAAAATAGATCTAAAAACTCTCCTTGTATTTGATTTTCATGTATGGTATCATAACTTTCTGTGAAGTACTTGGTAAAAATTAAAGATTATATTCACACAGAAAAAATTTTCTTTATTATTTATTTTACCTTTATTTTATAAATATAAATAAGAAAAAGTCTTCAGTTTTAACTTATATATTAAGATATCAATTATCTTTAATTTGTAAAAAAAAATAAAATTTGATTTTTTTCATCTACATCTATTTTTTTAAAATAAATATTTTCTTCACTTTTATTTTATAAAGATAAAGGTTTTATTTAAGTTATTGTTTTTTATAAGGAAAAGTAAAAATAAAGTAACACCTCTAACCCAAAGGTGATTTTGAAGAAACTTCCTATTGAGAATGTTCAACATATGTAATCGATA